AAACAAGCCAATTCACTTCGTGAACTCGGCAACCAGGTTACTGGGGGTTTTTTTTATCTCTTTTTTTTTGCGGTAATCATAATGGTGGTCGAGTAAATCATGTTGTGCGAGGTGGAGAACCGTCACTCCGCGCAAGGGGAATGATCGCACCACGTTGTGATAAATTGGTCAAGCACCCTCGAGGCAGTCACACAGTGCTAACAACTGTCTCTGGAAGTGAAGTACCAGAAAATAAATTAATNCTTGGTGATGTGAGAGCCTGGTCCGGTGAGAACCCGGCGTGCTCCGTCCCGGCTTTGTAGGGATGCGAGGTCAATGGTCTAACGACTACGGCATGCACGACTATGAGTACACCCCCCCTCCCCCTCCCCCCTCCTCCCCCTGATGGTACTTTTCCGCCAACGGTATCCTTCGAAGTTGTAGATCAAAGTCACCACATGTCCCGCTACTGTTGCGAGCTGCCCACTGCGTAGGCCTTTGCTTCATCGGCCGTTTTGTTTGTATGACGGAGAATAAGAAGGTGAAATTACTTGAAATTAGTATGGAAATAAAGTTTGTGTATCTTAATCGAAAATAAAACGGCCGATGGAGCAAAGGCCTAGTGCCACTGCGCGTGTGCTGCCAAGCACCTGCTTCAAGAGCACAGACTTGGCCTGCTTGATGAACGGGCTCCCTGTATCATGGCTATTCTTATTCCCCCCGTACACCCCCCACCCCCCTGTTGGCAAAACAGGAAGGTCCTGTGGGAACAATGCTCCGTCCTCTCGAGAACGCGAGGTCAATGGTCTAACCGCCGAGGCATGCAAAACATAAGAGTACCCCCACGCCCTGTTCTCGTGCGCCGTGCCGCTCCTGGTCAATCCAACCCCAATACGACAGATTGCTCTGCAGCCTGGAGCACAAGCAGCATGTGGTGATGGTGTTCGAGTCTATGCAGATGAATCTCAGGGAGACCCTCAAGAAGTTTGGACGAAAAGTGAGACACAAGAGGGGGGGAGGGGAGTGAGGCATGCATTAGTATTCAAAAGAAAACGAAAATTGTCGCGGAAATTGACTTTGAAAAGCAATAGGTTTCTTTATTTAAGTTTCCCTAAACCACAAAAGGCACCCATTAAACGCAGGGTTATTGTAGCTGGTAATTTCGCAGTTTCCAGCGTCTAATCACAGCGGCGACAGTAACCACCACACGCCAAACACATGTCATGTCGGCCTTTGTCGGTATCATCCTTGTCTATTCTTAATTTTTTTTTTTTCCGTTGTGCTTCCTCCATCTCAATTTGTGCTCGCTTGCCTGATTTTTCTTTTTTGTTTGTTTCCCTTTTCACTTGTTAATAAAGACGGGCATCAATATCCACGCGGTCCAGAAGTACGGCAAGCAACTATTGGCGGCGCTGAAGCACATGGCCTCCCGCAACCTGGTGCACGCTGACATCAAGCCCGACAACATCCTCGTCGATCAGGGCTTCGGCTCGCTCAAGCTGGCTGATTTCGGGTAAGCGAGGTCTAAAGAGAGAGCGTCAGTGTTTTCTCGGAGGATTTGAGTCATGAGAGGGGGCCAGTAAGTGTTTTCTCGAAATACGAGAGCGTGTTGGCCTTGGGGTGTGTCGGCAGAGAGGGCGCTGCGGCGTCTTCGTTTGCTTGGAAGCAATTCCGTTGAACGTGGCTCCGACATTGATAGGCGCCCTGTCTGCCAAGACGGAGACTTGCCATAGCCATGTATCGATGTATCCCAAAAGCACGCAACAGCAGTTGTTGCACCAATCGCGACATGGAGATACCTCTGTGACGGAGTAAGTGTACCAGATTGCCCCAAAGCGCGCGGCGCTTGCACCAATCGAGATATGTATGGAGACACCTCTCAAAGGCCGTGAGTGTAACAGCACACTGTAACTTTCGCCCCCTCCCCCCTACCTCCCGCGCCGGTTTTCCACACCGTACAAGGTCGGCGTTCCGTATTACCGACCCGGACAACGACCCGACGCCTTACCTCGTGAGTCGCTGGTACCGCGCTCCGGAGATCGTGATGGGGCTGGAGTACGACAAGGCCATCGACCTGTGGTCCGTGGCTGTGACGTTGTTCGAGCTGTACAAGGGCTCTCCGGTTCTTCCCGGGGTCAATAACAACGAGGTGAGGCGTGAGGGAAGCGGCCGGCAGTGCCCTGGTTTGGTGTATGTAGATAACCGAGAGAGGTCGAATCGACCTGTTTTGTTTGGAGTGAACAAAGAAGCACCGGGGTTCTGTTTTGGTTCGGCAACCAGCAGCAGCAGCAGCAGCAGCTTGATGCCGGTTATCGTCCAAGTGGAACTGCGAGGTTTGCGTCCAATGACTGGTGGTGGACCGTTTTCCGTTGGGAGGGTGAGTGCGTGGTCAGCCAGCTGGCTCGGTGTGGCGTGAGCAAGAACCAAAATGACGGGACGTTTGTCTTGCTTGGTTTTTCAATCGAGACGAAAGTGATTTGATTGGCTGCGTGCCATTGGTGTTGTTTTTTTTTGGCGTGGCTGCCGGTCAGCAGTCTTGGCCAATAACACCCTCGTCTACTTCTCTCCTTGCTAATTATTGTGCTTGCAGAGTTTGAAACGAGCGATAAAACGAACGACCGAACGATGAGGAATTCTGAAGATAGTCCGAGGGCCTCGTTCCGATGACAGTACACTCCGGTACGGAATATCAAGTTATTGCATGTCTCTTCCTTCAATTGTTGACATTGTCGTTTTTGCACTAAACGGTCAATTTTGCTCGCAGATGTTGAAACGGATGATGGAGTTCAAGGGCCCCGTGCCGACACGCATGGTCAAGAGCCACATGCGGGCATTCGAGACGATGGGAGGCATTCGCCCGCACTTCACGGAGGGGGGACAGTTCATGCAGCAGGAACCGGATCCGGTGTCAGGCGCGTCACGCCCTGTCATGTACTGCTGATTGCCGGGTGTTTTTGTTTTGTCTTACGAGTCGAAGATAAAGTCTGTTTGTGTTTGGGTGGCCTTTTTTTTGTGTGTCATGCGGCGAAGTGTCGAGAGCGGACATGGGCTCAGGGTAGTCGGTGTCATACCTCATGTAAACTACTTGTACCGTAAACCCCCCCCGGGTCACGGCCTTCTTCGTTTGTGCTTTTTCGTGATGCTAATGTCTCATCTTTAACCTTCATCTAGTCTTGGCAATCTTCATGTGCGCATCTTAATCATCTTTCGGCTTTTTTGTCGGCAGGGCAAACGACGGTCCGGCTGGTGACCGTAACAGCCCCGTCCCGACCCATCAAGAGCGACATCATGCGCAGCAAGGGTGCCCAAGACAAGAAGGAAACCGTCGCAGACCTGGCAGACTTTCTCGACAAGTGCATGGCTCTCGACCCGAAGCAGAGGATGTCCTTGGGACAGTGCTCCTCCCACAGCTTCTTACGCCGTGCATAACAAGATCGGCTGTGATGGAAACGGCAGTCTACGCGTGTGCGGCGTCAGCTCGCCGATTGGCCATGGTGTTGGTAATGAGGCGCACCGTGGTTGGTCAATGCAGTATATGTGCCGCGTGAGTGCGTCACTTGGTGTCTGGTCGATGCATGCAATCATACATGGCAAACTTAAAGAGTCTTCTTCGATTCGATACGGTTGCGGTTTGTGTAGGCTTTGCCGAGTGCGGGCTCTGACAAAGAGTTTCCTGCGCCAAGCATGAAGAATCACGATTGGTCGATGAAACTGAAGGAGAATCGACATGTATGCGTAGAATATTGCTGGTTTATAAGTGTTCCCAAGCGGGTCGACGCTTTTGTTGTTCGCGAATGCAGGATAAGTATTTCGTGACCAGTTTGCCGTGCCCTGGTGCCGAACCTCATCCTAACGGTGTAACATAACGGATTGATGGATTACACGTGGAGAACATAACAACGAACAGAACGCCACCTGCTATCCGCCGTGGTGTACTTTTACGGCGTTTCGGCGATTAACTGATTGAATTACATCGCTTCAGAAGGTATGGTGATAAAAAATACCGCCTCTAAAGGTGACATTCAATATGTTGATGGGACTGATGGATCGTTGCCTAGTTTGTGAAAGCTTGCTTCGTTTACGCGAAGTTTTGCCCATACCGTAACGAACCATAAGGGCTAACTGCACAACCGCACTTACAAGTGTAGCAGTGTATGGTTTGAACATAAAGCCCTTCTGGCTGACGAAGGGTGAATACTTTGGCAGCCCCACACTGCTGTATCCATCCCTGTGTTGCCAAAAGCGGTATAGAAGAGACACGTCCTCACGCGGTCTGAGAAGAGAGGCATCCTCACGCGCAAGCAATGACGACGTCCAACGGAAAGCAAGCGGTTGGATGTTGAAAGAGCAACCTCAAAGAGAGGCGTGCAGGGGCCTGGTACAATCTACCGACCAAGAACAAGTCGCGCACACGATGGCTTTACGACCCGTCCAGTCGACTTCAAACTCCCAAGCAGAGTACGTCGAACCACGAGAAACAAGACTGTTGTGTAAGGTTCTGTCCGGCCTCGTCGGCGACGGTGCCGTGGCAACCTTAACCTCCCCCCGCTTCGCCTTCGACGATACCGATAAAAAAGTGAGGCAGCTAGGCTGGAGAGCAGCGACTGACGTGCCTTCAGCAGGACAAAAAATACGCGGCGTGGTGCCCACGATGGTTGCTGTCTCCTGGCAAGCGCCCCCACCGCCAAACCGAAGAGACCGTCCGTCTGATCCAGCAGTAGTTGCGTTTTATTTTGCCCGCAGACAGTCCGTAGGGAGGGTACCGAAAAGAAGCCAGTAGTGGAGAGATGGGCGTTCAAGCCGAAGGAATTTTGCAGAGAGGATGAGCGTGTGTACCACAGCAAATGCACAGCTCTAAGGCAATCGGGTGGGGAGGGGTCAGTGCGCAGGACTTGCGTCGTTGCAATGACAATCAACGAATCACTTTTCTCTTTAGCACGTCTGCAGCAAAACAAAACCAACACCGATGAAAACCAAGCCTACCGCACATGTCTGTGCCGCCCATCACTAAGAATATCTATACCATACCAGGGTAGCATGCGTACGACCACGTTTTGCTTTCCTCCCAACATCTACTCGGGGGTGCTGCCCGACTGGAAGTGATACTCGAAACCAGCGGAGCGAGAGAGGTAGCAATCTGGGTACGGATGTCACCGACAAAAAACACTACGGACGCTTGAGCACCGTCCAGTCGTCGTCGCCCTTCTTGCCGCCGTCGTCAAACTCGACGATAGCTTCGATCTCCACGGGGACGTTCATTGGAAGGGCGTTCGTGCCCACGGCAGACCTGGAGTGCACCCCCCTCTCTCCAAACACCTGGCCAATCACGATCATGAAAAACCGTGAGAAGCTCCGCGAGGGTCACCGATTAGTCGAATTGTGATACACCGCATTTTGTTTGGGGACGGTTTACCCTCTGGTGACAACGGCACCGCAGTGCATGGTGCGGGTGCATCGCTTGAAAAACGCCACCCCTCTCTCTATTCAGGGAGGCCCCCCTCAGTAGTGCCAGTATGTCCGCATGGGCCAGACCAGTATACCGGCACTATTCAGAGGGACCGGCACTATGATTCAATGTAATTGGTGATTCAGTCTGTGCCCAGCAATTTTACGGGCAATATCCGGGCGTCGGCACTATTCAACCGGCTACTGAGGGCCCTCGTCTGTAAAAATGATATGCATGCCACATGACACACCGGACAGAGGAAAGGGGGTTAATGATAGAATCAAGACAGGGGGTTAATGATAGAACCAAGACAGCGTTAGCACTCAGGTCGAGATGGCATCCTTGAAACACAGAAGGAAGGGGGAGAGACAGTCAACCGGCTTCTGCCATCGATTGCCAGATGTTTTGTCGTTGTTGTTGTAGGTTTCGTGTCACACAAGCGGGTGTTGCGGAAAAACAAGTTAACAAATCCCTGCAATAAACAATCAAGAGAGTCTGAACCTGCACAAGTTCAAATCGTATTTTCGCACGCAGCATCTCTGCACAAATAAAAAATTCATGTTGTAGCACGCAAGCCATTTGGTAAAACCGACGACCCAAAGGCGTGTTCGACATCGTGACTTGCCTCAAGTCAACCAACAGCGTCGCTTACCTCTGCAAAGAGATCACTGGCGCCGTTTACCACCTTGGGCTGCCCAGCAAACCCGTCCGTACAGTTCACGAACCCGACCAGCTTCACTATGCGCGTCACTCGGTCCAAATCGCCCAAGTCCTCTGTATGGCGAAGTGTCCCCCCGCGCCCC